GATAACAATCTGTGTCTGTCAAGTCAACAATTCTGTGTCTTGTGCGAGTAACAAATCACGTTGCACTCAGAAACAATGCGTGTCTGTCCCTGAGTAACAATATCTGGCACTCATAACAATTCCCATCTGTCCTCATGAGTATTTACAAGTTCTTCTGGTGATGTGCCTTCAGTAACAATCTGTTTCTGTGCGAGTAACCAATTCTTCTAGGCCCTGAGTAAAGCATTCTGTGGTCCCTGATAATCAAGTTCTGTGTCTGTGCGAGTAGCAAATTCTCCTGCTGTCAAGTAACAATTTTGTCTGTCTGTGGCCCCTAAGTAACAATTCTCTTGGCACATCAGTATTAACAATTCTGTCTGTGCCCCTGAGTAAGCAATTCTCTGGCACTGTCAGTAACAATTCTGTCTGTCCCTGAGTATTGAATTCTCCGTGTGCAACTCATAACAGGTATTCTGTCTGTCCTGAGTAAAATTCTCCTGGCACTAGTAACAAAGTTCTGTCTGCTCCCTATTAGTAACAAGTTCTCTGGCCACTCAGCGTAACAATTCTGTCTGTCCCTGAGTATGAACAAGTTCTGTGGCCCTGAGTAACAATTCGTTCTGTGCGAGTAACAATTCGGTGGCAAGGCCCCGAAGTAACAATTCTGTGTTTCCCTTTGAAGTAACAATTTTACTGTCTGTCCTACTCATTGTACAATTCTCTGTCACTGTGGTAACATTCTGTGTCCCTAGAGGTAGTAAATCTGTTCTTTTGTCGTACAGTAACAATTCTGTAAGTAACAGTTCTGTGGCCCTCATAACAATTCTGTGTCTGTGCGAGTAACAATTCTGTGTCTGGTGCGCAGTAACAATTCTTGTGGGCCCTAAGTAAAGTTTCTGTGGCCCTAAGTAAACAAATTCCTCTGGCACTCAGTAACAATTCTGTCTGTCCCTGATTAACAAGTTCTCTGGCACTCAGTACAATTCTGTCTGTCCCTGAGTAAAAATTCTGTGGCCCTAAGTAAAGTTTCTGTGGCCCTGAGTAACAATTCTCTGGCACTCAGTAACAATTCTGTCTGTCCCTGAGTAACAATTCTCTGGCACTGAGTAACAATTCTGTCTGTCCCTGAGTAAAAATTCTGTGGCCCTAATTAAAGTTTTCTGTGGCCCTAAGTAACAATTCTCTGGCACTCAGTAACAATTCTGTCTGTCCCTGAGTAACAATTCTCTGGCACTCAGTAACAATTCTGTCTGTCCCTGAGTAACAATTCTGTGGCCCTAATAACGTTTCTGTGGCCCTAAGTAACAAATTCTCTGGCACTGAGTAACAATTCTGTCTGTCCCTGATTATGAATTCTGTGGCCCTAACTAGCGTTTCTTTGTCCCTAAATAACGATTCTGTGGCCCTCATTAACAAGTCTGTGTCCCCTGAGTAATGGTTCTCTGTCCCTAAGTAACTTTTCTCTGTCCCCAATTATCGTTTCTGTGGCCCTAACTCTGTCCCTGTCCCTAGTACAGAGCGGTCTGCCTCTGTTCAATAACTGCAGGCAAATGAAGAATTCCAAAATGGCCGCTATTTATAGCTCGACCATTACACAGTGCTAGCTGGCTGGCTGCTGATAGGCTGATGCGATCACATGTAGTTGAGGCATGCATTATGGGTCAGCGCGCCTTGTCTGCGCGCCTTCCCAGACATCCCCGCTCCGTCGCCGCACATGTCAGCCGCCATTTTCTGAAAAATTTCGATTCGCGCGTCCGAATTAGGCTATTTTTTTCGGATTCGGCACGAATCGAAATTTTTCCGATATTCGACTCGAATTCCACTTCGGATACTTCGATTCGCTCATCTCTAGTCATAATGTATTCTTCTACATGTATTTGATTAAAAAAATCCCAATAAGTGTATGTTGACTGGTTTACATGAAAGTTATAGCACCTACAAATTATGGTATATATACTAAAATTTTTAATTTTTTTTTTACACTACTATTGGCAGTGATCAGCGACTTATAATGGGACTGAATAGTATGGTTGGCAATCTGACACTAACTGATGCTGGGGGGAACTAATGCCACTGACATCACCAGTGACATTAACACAGTGATCAGTGATCATATTATACACTGTCGCTGTAGTAATGACACTGGCTGGGAAGGGGTTAATATCTAAGGCAATCAAGGGGTTAAATGTGTGCCTAAGTAGTGTAATGCATGTAAAGTATGCTGCTTTTACTATTAGATCTCTAAGTTTCTTATCCCTGCTTTGCAAGGATGAGAAACACAGAGATAGTTGCATAGTTAGTCTGGATGAAAAAAGACAAAAGTCCATTCATTTCAACCAAAAAAAAAAAGTTATAATCATATACTTGCAGTTGATCCAGAGGAAGGCAAAAAAAAAACCCAAAGCATGACCCAATTTGCTCCTGCAGGGAAAATAATTCCTTCCTGATCCCCCGAGAGGCAATCGGATATTCCCTGGATCAACTTTAGCTATAAATATTAGTATCCAGTTATATTCTGTGTATCTAGGAAAGAATCCAGGCCTTTTTTAACGCAATCCACTGAGCTGGCCAGAACCAACTCTTGAGGGAGTCTATTCCACATTTTCACAGCTCTCACTGTGAAGAAACCTTTCCGTGTTTGGAGATTAAATGTCTCTTCCTCCAGACGTAAAGAGTGCCCCCTTGTCCTCTGTGATGTCCTCAGGGTGAATAACTCTACAGCGAGTTCACTATATGAACCACTGATGTATTTATACATGTTGATCATATCCCCCTTAATCTTCTCTTCTCAAGAGAGAATAAATTCAGTTCCTCTAATCTTTCCTCATAGCTGAGCTCCTCCATGCCTCTTATCAGTTTGGTTGCCCTTCTCTGTACTTTCTCCAGTTCCCCAATGTTCTTTGTGTGAATTGGTGTCCAAAACTGAACTGCATTCCAGATGAGGTCTTACTAATGATTTGTACAGGGTAATATGAGATCTCTCTCTCTGGAGTCTATACCTCTTTTAATACAAGAGAGGATTTTTCTTGCGCTAGAAACTGCAGCTTGGCATTGCATGCCATTATTAAGTTTGTGATCTACCAGAACTCCCAGATCCTTCTCCACCATTGATTCCCCCAGTTGTACCCCCCCCCCCCTAGTATGTAGGATGCATGCATATTCTTAGCCCCCAAGTGCAGAACCTTACATTTATCAACATTAAACCTCATTTGCCACATAGTTGCCCAATTAAACAGTGCATTGAGGTCGGCTTGTAAGTTGAAGACATCCTGTAAGCATGTTATTCCACTGCATAGCTTGGTGTCATCTGCAAACACTGAAATGGGATTTTTAATCCCAGACCCTATATCGTTTATAAATATATAAAAAATTAAGGGTCCCGACACTGAACCCTGGGGTACACCACTGACAACCCTAGACCATTCAGAGTATGAATCATTAACCACTACTTTTTGAATACGATCTTTTAGCCAGTTTTTCTAACCATTTACATACAAATTTTTCCAAGCCCGTGGACTTTACCGTACACATTAGCCATGTGTGGGGAACTGCATCAAACGCTTTTGCAAAATCCAAGTATACCATGTCCACCGACACCCATCTGTCCCAGGTTTTGCTCACCTCCTCATAAAAAGAAATCAGATTTGTTTGACAACTTCTGTCTTTCATGAATCCATGCTGTCTGTTGCTTAAAATATTCTTTTCCAGCAAGAACTCATCTATGTGGTCTTTTATTAAACTCTCCAGTATCTTCCCAACTATGAACGTTAAACTAACAGGTTCATAATTACTTGGTAAAGATTATGACCCCTTTTTAAATATTGGCACCAGTCATTAAAGAGTCCCTAAAAATTTGAAATGGCTTTGAAATGACAGAGCTCAATTCTTTAAGGACCCGTGGGCGTATGCCATCCAGTCCAGGTACTTTATTCAGCTTTATTCTGTCTAAATATTTTTGGATCATATCAATTATGAGCCAATGTGGATCATCTAGAGCTGTGTCAATACCATGCCCATTATGGACAAGAGCTCCCCATGCTCTTTTGTATACACAGAGCTGAAGAAGATATTTAAAAAAATTTGGCTTCTCTTTGTCCCCAGTCACCCACTCTAGATTATTTTGTAAAGGGCCTACATGCTTGGACTGGACCTTTCAACTATTAAAAATATTTAAAGAATTTTTTGGGGTTGGTCCTGCTATATTTTGCAATCTGTCATTCATTGTCAATTTTTGCGGCCTTTATTTCCTTTTCACATATTCTGTTATATTCTTTGTACTGTTTAAATGATGATAGCGTTCTCTTTTCTTATTATCTATAGCTTTTTTATCGTTGGCCGTAAGCCACATAGGTTTGATTTTTAGCCTTTTAACCTTGTTGCCCATGGGAATATATTTTGCAGTGTGTTCACATAGTCTTTTTGAAGAACTCCCATTTCTGTGTTGTGTTCATTGATGCCAATATTCCCTGCCAGCCTAAGTCTTGGAGAGCAGCTCTCAGCCTTGGAAAATTAGCTCTTTTAAAATTGAGCGGTTTTATTTTTCCAGTATGTGCTTGCTGTTTACAGCTAACAATAAATTAAATCATGTTATGGTCACTGCTACCCAGATGCTCTTTTATATGGACATTTGTAATAAGCTCTGCATTATTTGAGATTACCAGGTCCAGCAGAGGATCATTCGTAGTTGGGGCCTCTACGAGCTGTACCATAAAATTGTCCTGTAGTAGGTTTAAAAATGTTTGCCCTTTAGCTTTTCCTGCAGTACCATTACTCCACTCAATTTCTGGATAGTTAAAATCCCCCATTATTATCATTGTCCCAGCCCTTGCAGCCCTTTTGATCTGTGCAAGCAGCTAAGTCTCCACCTCCTCATTAACACTGGGAGGCCTATAATAAACTCAAATGGTTACCTTTGTAGTATGCAACCCCATGTGCAATTTCACCCATAATGCTTCAGCTTCATCACACTCTCCTTCAACTAGGTCCTCTTTCACACTCGCTCTGAGATCACTTCTCACATAGAGACAGACACTACCACCTTTCCTATTTACCCTGTTTCTCCAAAAGAGGACATAGCCAGGAATATTAATGGCCCAGTCATGTGAAGGATGAAGCCAAGATTCTGCAATACCAATTAAACCATACTTCTCTTCATGCACCAAAGCTTCCAACTCACCTATTGTCAGGGCTCTGTCCTAGACAGAGGTGTTAGGAGACCTGGCACCCCTGTGTCAGGAATCTAGGAATGACCAGAAAGGTGTGGACTGACACAGGGAAACGCAGGTTTCAGGTATAGTATAATAATACAGTTTATTATTAGCCACCCAGATATATATATAAACGCACAGTGAACAAACCAACCTTCCACTAATCTTAGGAGGTGCAGGAATACAGGCGTAGTCAGGGCTGGAGAGGTGGAACGGTCAGGCCGGCCGTAGGGTTCTGTAATGACCGTTTGGTGGTACCTCTAGCGGTCCCCAGGACAGGATTCCCCAGGGCGCGGAGTCTAAGTCCCAGTCTGCTTATTCACCAGGGCCCCTGATGGTGGGGATGGACTTGGAGCAGACAGGAACCAGGTCGCGGCCCCTGAGTACACCTGCTAGTGGTAGAGGGATCCGCCAGAGGTATGTGCAGGTAGAAAGCCTGATGTGAAGAGGCAGAAGGTGTGAGCAGGGACGGCTGGATCCGTGCAGGATGGATGGATGGATGGCAGAGTAGTTAGCGTGGTCAGACGGGCCAAGTCAGCAATGTGCGGGCAGCAAGGTACCAAAGGAGCAGGCAGAGAATGGTCAGGGTCACAAGCCGGGTTCAGTAACTCACGGGCAGCGTGGTACAGGGGATCAGGCAGAAGGATGGTCGGGCAAGCCAGGGGGTTCAACAGGAGACGGTCAGCAGAGGTCAGGATCAAGCAGGGTCAGCAACGAAGCAGGAACACAGGATACCAGTTACAGAGGCTCATGGGAAAACATACACCAAGGCCCAGACTGCAGGTCTGGCCATCCCTTAAATACACCTTCTGCAATCAGCCCCAGGTTTGGCTGATTGCAGAAGTGAGCTTCTGGCTGCTGAGAGCACCCGCTGGTCAGCCCTGGTACTGCAGCCCACACGGCAGGTGAGTCCCACCACCAGTGCTGAGTCCATTCCTGACACCCTGCCAGTACCTTGCATGGCCACAGAAGTTCACATCGGCTCAAATTTGGCTCCAAACAGACTTTATAAGGAAGCCCTGCACTACTCTTGGGTGCTGGTTGATCTCTGGCTTCCCAGTACTTTGTTCCTGATCCTGTGCTATTGTGATCTGTGATTTCCTAATACCGACTTGGCTTGCTCTTGGACCTGTCTTCTCTGCTTAACCCCTGATCTGACCTCAGTTTGTGTAACGGACCGCCTGACAGTACCTCTATCAGTCCCCTGATAGAGCCTCCCCAGAGTGCGGAGTCTAAGTACCGGAGCACTTGTTCACCAGGGCCCCTGATGGTGGGGATGGACTTGGAGCGCTCCGGGACCAGGTCGCAGCTGCTAGGTATCTCTACCAGAGGTAGAGGAGTCTGCCAAGGGCTCCAGCGGGTTAAGAGTCTGATGTGAGGGAGCCCAGGGATCCCTGAGGGATGGATGGACGGATGAGCAAAGTCAGAGTCAAACAAGCTGGGTCGGTAACTAGCGGGTCGGTGAGGTACAAGATGATAGGCAAAGGATAGTCGGGTCACACGCAGGGTCAATACCAAAAGATCAGATCTATAAGGGAACATCCAGGAGCAGAGTCAGGCAAGCCAAGGGGTCAGGACAGGAGAAGGCAACAAGGTCAGACAATCCAGATCAGAGTACTCACTACACAGGAAACAGGATACAAAAGACCATTCAGCAACAAGCGTCTGTGCGGGGCTGGCTTAAGTAGCCCGCCCTGCACCTGACAGTCGCCGCCTAGGTCCCAGTGCCTGCCTAGTACTGTCAAGACGACGGGTGCACCTGGGTCCTAGTGCCCTGCTACCTGTATGTCTTAACAGACGCCTATGCATGTGTAGACCCATGCGTCGCGATGGTCCCTGACAGTTTGGCTAACGGATATTCCCTCTTGCTCCTCTGTGTATGACCTTGGCTATCCCATCTGACTACGTCTGCTCTGATTTCCACCTGGTAGCTGACCTCGGCTTTGTACTGGCTATCCGTTGATCCTCTGTTTCCCGGAAGGCTTGCATACCTCACACAGGCACCACCTGTCTGCAGATCATATCTCATTGCATCAGTTGTGCTCCTGGGTGGAACACCAACGAGCACTCCTACAAGCGACCTGTGTCACTTTGGGCCTGATTCCTGCTGTCCCACTCTCAGGTGAGTCTGGAACTTAGCCGCAAGGGAAGCCCTCTCTCCATTGGCCTCTAAGACCAGGTACGTGATACCTATTTTGCTTGGCAGACTTCTGGCAATGGTGAACAAACACTTTAATCCATTGACACCTTGTTCACACGTATTTTGCATATTTTTTCATACAAATGGTATGAATTCCACTGGTCCTTTGTAACATGGGAACCTTCTTATCATCTGCCATAGATCGTTCCCTAGTTACAGAGCTCTGTGTTGAATGTCAACACAGAACTCTGGGCTGTGATTGTACACAGCTGATCAGCAGGTCCCAGCTGTGTATTACTGGTTGGGCCTTGCTGACAGGCTCCCACTGTGTACAACCACAGTGGGTGCTGGTTGGGGGGTGCACATGAAAATGTATGGGTACATCGCTTTGCCTACAATGGCCACCCGATTTGCAGTAAATTGTGGGTTGGCGGCCCCTACATGGTTAAATCAGCGTCCAAATTCAGCCTTTTTTTTGTTTTGGATAGGGTGGGGAAGAGAGTTGGAAATTCTGTCAGTTTTTTTTTCTGTCTGTGATGCTACTAGGGAAATTTTCCCTGATTTTTTTCCCTGTGTATCCCATACAAGAAATGAAGGGTGCTATTGCCACCCGGACAGAAATGCACAGACAACAATAAAAACTTTGTATTAACTCCCTGACCTACACCAGCCCACTGACTGGACAATGAGCGAGCATTGCCATGCCGATGAGTTCATCAACCGGTTTTCTCCTATCAGCTAGCTCCCACTGTCTGACAGCAACAAGCAGTACAGTAGACCTGTGACTGGTTTATAGCGCTGGACCTTATGATTTATCGGTTTCAAATATAAAAATACATTGATACAGTTATGCTACACTTAAAATACACATACTGATTTTTAAAAAAACTCACAACCGGAATAAAGAGTGATTTTTCATTACCAGCCTCAAGTTAATCTTTAAATCGGCAGAATCCCTTAGTAAGTAGATTTTATGTTTACTGACATTTGATTAGAGAAAGATAATTTTCTGATTGGTTGCTTTGAGTTATTTCACTTTTCATATTGCTCTTTGCACTGGTGCCCAACCTGCACTCCAAAGGTTTTAGGCAGCAACGCAGTAAACAGTAGTATAAGATCATATCCTGTATTTATAGTAATAAATCAAATCTTTTTTTACTGTATGTGCTGTAGGTTTAAAATACCCTGTTCTACAACACTCTGCAGAGTCAAACCTCTGGCTCTCCCGCAGTCCAACACTTCCTCGCCCCACACTGCGCCAATCAATAGCTCTGCTCAGGTAGGGAAAGTGTTGTTGATTGGTGCACTGTGGGGGTGGGTTGCCTGCCAATTACTATGTGTGAGAGAGCTGGCCACTTTCTGTATAATGTCTACAGTCACTCACATTCCTCTGTAGTACGTCTGAGGTTTTTGATCATTTTCTTTAACATGTCTGCAATGTCTGACTGCAATGTCTAGCCCTTTCCTGTAGCATTTTTGCAGTCTCTGTCAGTCTTTGTTCCTGTAATTTCTGACCATCTTTTTTTAGCATGTCTGCACTCTGACCATCTCCTATGGAATGTTTGTAGTCTCTGACCCACTCCTGTAGCATTTCTGCAGCCTCCAACCAGCTCCTGTAGTATGTACGCAGTCTCTGACCCTCTACTTTAGTATGTCTACAGTCTTAAACCAGCTCCTGAAGTATGTCTGCGGTCTCTGACCAGCTCCTGTACCATGTCTGCCGTCTCTGACCCTCTCCTGTAGCATGTCTGCAGTCTCTGACCAGCTCCTGTAGTTATGTCTGCGGTCTCTGACCATCTCCTGTAGCATGTCTGCAGTCTCTGACCCACTGCTATAGCATGTCTACAGTCTCTTTCCATCTCCTGTAGCATGTCTGCAGTCTCTTTCAATCGTCTGTAGCATTAGTGAAGCTGGTTATAATGTGTGGCCGTATGGTAATGTTACAGGCAGCAATTCAACCCCTGTATCTAGTAAATTCAACGCCATTGCTCATTGCCTTTAAGAATTTTAGTCATTGACTGTAACATGTTTCTCTCTAGATTTACACAAGAGTTTTGCTATTAATTGGTGATTATTAATTATAATTACATCTTTATCTTTTACATCTTTTTGACAACAGGCTCATCTATGTAAGTTAGGTTTAGAAATGTTATACTAATTAAAATCATTAACAAATAATTTTGTTCCTGGGCTTACATGACATTTGTAAGGTATGTATTGTTGTGCAATACAACCTTTTTGCAGAAAGTTTGGAGATTACGTGATAGCCTATATTGACTTGCATTATTAAAGATGCAAGCTTTCAGGACAACTCAGATCTCTTCTTCAGGCTTTATCCATTTCTGAAAAATGGTGACTAAGAAACAGATAAAATATACGCAATAAGAAATGTATACGGTCTCAGATTAGCTACAGTGCCATCAGCTGTACTTTTCTTGACAATGTTGTGCTCTGTCACGACCCACCCGGCGGAATCTCTAGCAACCCACAGAACGGGATTCCCCAGGGTGCGGGGTCTAAGCCCCAATCTGCTTATTCACCAGGGCCCCTGATGGTGGGTATGGACTTGGAGCAGACTGAGACCAGGTCGCGACCCCTGAGTGCACCCGACTGTGGTAGAGGGAACCGCCGGTGGTATGTATCGGAAGAGAGCCTGATGTGAAGAGGCTGGCAGACCTGGGCAGTGGTGACCGGATCCGTGCAGGATGGATGGATGACAGAGTACGTGTAGCTTAGTCAGACGGGCCGGGTCGGTAACAGCAGAGGCAGAACGGTACAGAGCAGCAGACAGAGAGTAGTCGGGTCACAAGCCAGGTTTCAGCAACAGGAGGTCAGGTAATCAGGAGTAAGCAAAAGAATAGTCAGACGAGCCAGGGATCAGAGTAGGAGATGGTCAGCAGAGGTCAGGATGAACCAGGGTCGGCAACAAGGTATCTCACGCAGGAACAGACGAGCAGGGAACAGGGAATGAAGACCATATGGCAATGTGAGCATTGCATGAGCTGGTTTAAATAGCACGCCCAGCGCCGACAGGCGTGCCTGGGTCCTAGTGCCTGCCCGGCCGTCATTGGTGACAGGCACGCCTGGGTCCTAGTGCCCGCCTGCCTGTATGTCTTGTCGGGATCCTACGCCTGTGCAGATTCGTGCGCTGCGGTGATCTCTGGGATTCCTGACACGCACAGTGGACACAGGAACATTAAGATCTCTGGAGATGATCTTATAACCTTGAAATTGTCCTTGCTTTTCCTCAATTTTTGTTCTCAAATCCTCAGACAATTCTTTACTGCTCTTTCTCTTCTCCATGTTCTATGTGGCACACACAGAGACACAACAGAAATGCTGAGTCAAATTTCATCATATTAACTGGTTGCTTGCTGGTGTGATTTCTATAATGTCAGCACCTGTTAATTGATACAGGTGAGTTTAATTACAAATTACACTAGCATCACAAACTTGGAATGCAATTATTTCTTACAATTTTGAGAAGATACCAATAATTTTGCCCAGTCCATTTTTGGGGTTTTGCGTGGAATGTGTCAAATTTGGCTTTTTGTTTCTCCACTTTTTTGTGTCATACCAATACAAACACGAGAATGCCTAAACATTTGTAACTGCAACAATTTTCCGGGCGAAGTGGTGCATTATCTTACAGACATGCAGAGGTGCCAATATTTTTGGCTATGACTGTATATATACACTCACCAGCCACTTTATTAGTTAAACCTTTCAAGTACCGGGTTGGAACCCCTTTTGCCTTCAGAACTGCCTTAATTCTTGTTGGTATAGACTCAAAAAGGGAAAACTATATATAAAGGTTGTATCCCGCGCCTCTATGTGTAAAAACTGTGTGTATGTAACACCTCAACTAGTGATAATAAATCATACAAGATTCAAAAATTATGTGGAAACTGAGAGAATTGGCTGCAGACAATTCGCCAGTATATAAATATAGATATAGCTTAGCTGACAGGAGTGGCACTCGGAGTGCTGCTGTAGCCCATCTGCTTCAAGGTTCAATGTGTCCTGTGTTCAGAGATAGTATTCTGTATACCTTGGCTGTAAAGAGTGGTTATTTGAGTTACTGTTGCCTTTCTATCATCTTGAACCAGTCTGCCCATTCTCCTCTGACCTCTGACATCAACAAGGCATTTTCGTCCACACAACTGCCACTCACTGGATATTTTCTCTTTTTTGGACCATTCTCTGTAAACTCTAGAGATGGCTTTGCATGAAAATCCCAGTGGATCAGCAGTTTTTGAAATACTCAGATCAGCCCGTCTGGCACCAACAACCATGCCATGTTCAAAGTCACTTAAATCCCCTTTGTTCCCCATTCTGATGCTCGGTTTGAACTTCAGCAAGTCATCTTCACCATGTCTAGATGCCTAAATGCATTGAGTTGCTGCCATGTGATTGGATGATTAGCAACATGTGTGTATATACTGTGTATATTGGGACACCTTCCTGTACACGCACATGAACTTTAATGGCATCCCAGTCTTAGTCCATAGAGTTCAGTCTTGAGTTGGCCCACCCTTTGCAGCTATAACAGCTTCAACTCTTCTGGGAAGGCTGTCCACAAGGTTTAGGAGTGTGTCTATGGGAATGTTTGACCATTCTTCCAGAAGCGCATTTGTGAGGTCAGGCACTGATGTCAGACAAGTAGGCCTGTGTAAGGAAATATGTTTAATTAACTGGCATCTATTTTGTATAATGCCTCCATTTCTAGTTGTGTGAACAGTTAGTTTCGGTTTTGTAACTTCCCTCTCGTTTTCTTAGACTAGTTTAATGTCACTGTAAACGGAACTACCTTATATGGTATCCCTCAACTATTTGCAGTGTCTGTTCTTCACGTAACTATATTGATAAGAATGGAATGTTTCATTGGTCATCCTAAAATTAAGCAATGCCTACTGAGTTCTGTATAACCGTTCTTGTTTTGCCTTAAACTTTCAGAGGTTTAGCTTGCACACTTCGGTGTCTGGAGCTTTATTTCTGCCAGGCCTGAGAGTGAAAATAACAAGGACAGGGGATACAGACATAGGCTGATTCCTATCAGCCTGGCTTGCAGTCTCCGTTCTAATTCATCCCAAAGGTGTTCTGTCGGGTTGAGGTCAGGACTCTGTGCAGGCCAGTCAAATTCCTTCACCCCAAACTCGCTCATCCATGTCTTTATGGACCTTGCTTTGTGTACAGGTGCACAGTCATGT